AATTAAATGTTTTTTGGTATTATGATGTTAAATTTCTACTGTTTAATTAGTTGGTTAAATTTGTGGGTTTAATTTGCAGATTTAGTGAAAGGAGTATAATTTCTTGCTTAAATTGCTTTATGGATAAATTTCCAATTTAATCAAGGTTAGTAATATTATTTTTAGTAAACCCTAGATTTCTAATTGAATACTTGAGAAAAGATAGCTTGGGAAAATTATAATATTGATGAAACAGACACTTGAAAGAATTAATATAATAGTCAAGATGTAACTTAAATTGGTGCAAGAGAGAATTCAAGTTTCACAATAATGGAAGAAGAAATTGTTTCTATGTTTGGGATGAAGGTAAACTTGGATATGTACATATTTGTGAAGGTATTGAAAACTTGAAATAGCTCCAATTGATTAAAGGAAAATTTAGAAAAATTATTCAAGTATCGAGAAATCTAATTTTGGTTTTTAGTTATTAAATATTAAGAGCTACATAGTATGATAGTTGTTAAATGGGTCATTTTGTATCACATTTCAGGTGGTGATTAAGATATTGGAAAAGCTTATTGATATTCATAGCAGCTTGTCTTGGTGAGTGGATAAAACTTAATTTTCAGAAACAAGTATTCATTAAATTTTGAAGTTACTTATTTTATAAAGTTAAGTTGATAGCATGATTTTCGAAAAAAAAATTGATTTTATAATTAGTTCTTTTTAATGTTTAATTCAGTTCAGTTAAATCATTTGATTAGTAAGTTGTATGAATATTAAATGTTTCAGCATAATTAAAGTTATTTTAAAATCACCAGAAAGTACCCAAGTGATTTTACCCCAATCTGCACTGGTGTGAATGTGTTTCCACAGTGTATAACTAGTTATGGTGATTTTACCTGCTCTGCAATATTGTGAATGTGTTTCTATAGTGTATGAACAGATTATCAGAGGTCTCTAGGACCCACTCTCGTACACACATAGGCTTTGGACCATGTACTAGGGTGATTAGCCTTTGGGGCAGCTCTGCGTACGTACGACCAGATTATCAAATGTGAATGAACTTGTCTTGTACATCGAGATTACTCTGTACATGAGTAATGCTATTCATAAGGTACCTTTTTGGTGGAATTTTTCGGTATATTTACAGTTTATCAGATTTTAGAATATAGAATTCAGTTAATTCAGTTTTCAGAATAAATCTTTTAGCTTATAGTATTGAGTAGCAATAATATTTCATAGATTTTCATGGATATCAGATTAATTATGTCATTATACTTTACAGTTGCTTATCCAGAATTAAGAACAAAGAATTTTATAATGCAATCATGTTTAGTTTTAAAAGTGTTACCAGATTTTAGAAATTCTCAAAGTTTTAATAGAGTTTGAATTTTCAGAATATATGGATAAAAGAAAAATATATTTATTTGCAAAATATCTACTCACTAAGTTATAAGAACATACATCTTTTCACCATTTTCTTATTAGATAGTAGTTGAATTGAGCAACTTTGGAGCCTGTTAAACCACCGAATTGAGACACGCTTAGTAGGTTGTATGATATCCTTTATCAGATTATACAGCGTGTGTTCTTTTGGGGTACATGTAACTTAAATAAAAAATAATTCATCATGGGCTCATTACATATTTGACGTATTTGGTATATTTGAGGATTGTTGGTTGTAAAGTAAGTAAATATTGAATGATCAGCATTTTATTTGAATAGTTGGTATTCTGAGGAACTGGCTTATCCTGTTTTATATTATAGGTATTAATTTGAGGAAAAATTGGTTATTGTTCAGGTGAATTTAGTTCATATTTCAGGGGGAATTCTGTCAAAATTTTGTTAAAAATACTTTCTAGTCAAATAAGTCAAGGTTGCCTTGGTAGTGGGTACAGCGTTCAACTGGTAACTATCATCGGCGCACGACACGTGTCGAGTCCAGTCCACTAAGGTGATTCGGGATGGTTAG